ACCATGGAAGGGCCCGTGTGTGAGGACCCTAGAGCAGTGTACCTAGGGACAGTGCCCCCCTAATTCTGCCACTCAGCAGGGTCTTTGCCCTGTGTGAGGGCCACAGTCTAGTGTCTGAAAGGGGAGAGCTAAGAGGGTGTGGAAGAAGCTCGTCCAGGGGCCTTTCAGTCTGAGGTCTGGCAGCTAGAATGGAGCTCAAGGGCCTTGACCTCTGCTTGCTCCCTTGCCTTTGTGCTCCTATACAGGTTGACAAAGCATTCCTTCAGGTCAGTTAATCTGACTGGGACATGAACCTGGAGGCTATGATTGTTGGTGGGGGCCCCTGGTGGCTCCTCTGAAGGGGACCAAAGACTGTGATGCCTGTGGCAGCCTGACTAGGTGGCCTTTCCTGCCCCCACCCCCACCCTACTCGGGGCCCCTCCTCATCCCTGGGTCCTTATTGAGCTTCCTTTTCTGTTCCCCCTTCTCCAGGCACCACATGGGCCCAGGCAGTGGGTTTGCATGGCACTGAGGAGTTTTTTCAGCTCTGGCTCAGGACACCTGTGTTGTGCACACACAAGCCCTCATGACTTCCAAGGCCCGCCTTTCTCAGCCACACTCTCCTGCCCCTGTGCTTGGTGTCCCTGCCCCGGTGTCCCCAGCACAGAGGCCCTCCAGCTGCTCCCTTCCCTCGCTGGTGCTGGGGAGACCTGGAGCTTCAGGTGTCATGTTACCTTCCCTCCCATATCAGAGGACGCTCCTGTAGGGGCCTTATCCCAGTGGGCATCGTGGCCATAAGGTCAGACCCTCCCTCCCTCCTGCTCGGTGAGGAGCTGGTCAGCCTGGCAGGTGCAGTTGGGCAGGAAGACCCATGGCAGCAGCAGGGACAGGGCTCCGCCCTCATGCGGGAGGCGCTGGGATGGACAGAGATGCCGGCCCCCGGCAGAGTCAGTTCTCAGCAAACACCAGAGCAGCCCCACAGTGCTTCTGATCCTCCTCATCCGCTTCCTTCCGCGGGCCTGCTTTTTGTCACCTCAGAGGCATTGTGTAGCACTGAGAAGAGGAAGGTGTGAGAAGTCGGAAGGTCAGCCTGTGGCCTAGGGTGGGCGGGAAGGGTGGGGGCTCCAGAGGAATTGAAACCAGGGCTCTGAGCCCCCCTCATCCCTCACTAGCACGTGGGCCTGGGAAGATCCCAAACCCCGTGGCCTCAGTTCTCCTGTGAAGCCAGTCAGTTTGAGAAGCCCACGTGTTGGGCTGCAGAATGCGCCTGAGGGACGGGATGAGGCTGCCAGGGCCTGGCAGCTGTTTGCACTGTGACGACAGGGCAGGAATCTGTCACATTGTTGCCCCCAGACACTCTTCCACTCTCCACTGTGGGATGGGTGCTTTGTGGTCCAGGCACGTCAGAGAATATGACCCTCAATAGGATGTGGAATAGCTAATCAGCCAAACAGGATGTTTCAAAAATAAAACTAAGAAACTTTTCTACTTAGACCATAATGTTTGTTACTCAGTTGTGTCCGACTCTTTGAAACTCCATGGACTGTAGCCTGCCAATCTCCTCTGTCCATGGAATTCTCCAGGCAAGAATACTGGAGTGGGTTGTCATGCCCTTCTCCAGGCGATCTTCCTGACCCAGGAATCGAACCCAGTTCCTGATCCAGGAATCGAACCCAGGTCTCCCACAATGTAAGCAGATTCTTCATCATTTGAGCTACCCGGTAAGCCCCATTTCCAGTAAGAGAAACTGCTAAATTTGGGTGTGGAGGACTGTTCCAGCAGGATCCAAACTGCTCTAGGAAATAGAAGCAAGAACCACTCTTTGCCTCTGCCTCAGCTAGTCTTCCATCCAACCATTATTTTCCTTCATTGCAACCCCAAAGAAGGTTGAGTCCTTGATTATGATGGCCAGTTACAATCAAGATAATTTAAAGCTAATTAACACCTTGGGTTCCACATCCCATGGACCAGGAAAAAGAGGGTACTTTCGTGTATTTCTTGGGCACCACTTCAAGGGAGTGTGAAGGAGTTCTGCAGGATTTCTAGCAGATATGGGGTTTGAAAACACCTCCTTCTCCCCTGTGATCAACAGCAATGTGACAAAAGCCAGGACCCCTTCCTTCCTGCCCAGAAGGAGATCTCTCTGGGCTTTATCCAAAATGCAAAAGGCTACCTCACAGCAGTGATCCATTTCAGAATTTCCCATCACCCCAAAGACACACTGTCTGCAAGTCTGAGGGCTGCCACCACCCAGCCTCATCACAATCACGTCCCAGAGAAGGAATCCAGCTTCTCAAATCCCCAAACTGCCCTGGCTCAGCCACTGACACTCCAGTGCTCCTCCTGAAGCCCCATCGCCCTGCCCTTTGTTGCCTTGTTCAGTGCGACTAGGGGACGTCTTTCCACCTTCCTCGTGTGACTGTGGCTCCTAGACCATCGCTCTAGGTATGGGGGTGTCCTGCTTCTCTAGTGTCCCCACTGCAAACATGGCCTTTCACAAAGCAGAGGCTCTGTAAAGGTCTTCGGAATACATGAGCCAGTGAGCAGGGGGCTCAATTAATTATCTGCTACTTCCTTAAAAAAACCCAAGCCAACCCAAATAAACAGACAATTTAGTTTTTGAAAATGACACACAAGAAGGACAGAAGCATGAATTCACTACGATCACTTTTATCATCTAATTCTTCCCCATCAGTATTACTGCTAAGTAAGCTCACGTTTCCAAAACAGTTCTAATTCCAATTCTATTGCATCCTGTTCAGGACCACAAAACACAATGGAAGAGTTTCCAATCTCTTTTACAAAACAACAAAACTCTTGTTCTTGAACTGGGTAAGTACAAACACACTGTGATCAACATCATTCACAAAGCTAAGACACTGAAGTTTATTTAGCCTTCTGTGAGAACAATGAAAGCTTTAAAATGTTCTAAAGAAAACAGATGAATCTCCATGTCATCATAGAGAACAGGAGCCCAAAGATGCTACACATCGGTTTCCCCAACTGGCCCGCACTCTCATTTCTGAGAAGGCTGACCACTCCCTCTTTAATGACAGAGGGAAGGATTAGACTGGCTGCTGCTCTGACTCAGGCTGCCGAGTCCTCCTCCCTCGCAGCCTCTGCAGACAACTATGGGAAGGCCCTCAAAACCCTTTGTCTGACCCTGAGCAGAAACACCATGACTTGCCACTTGCTGGTCTCCACATAAGCCCAGGGACCCCACAGCAACTCATAGTGGGCAGGGTGGCTGTCAGGCACCTGCTGGTACTCCAGGTACCCCTCCTGCACCCACACATGGGTCAGCAGCTCCCTGGGCTCCCCAAAGACACAGTGCTCACTCCCGAAACACAGCCCTATCCTGCTGAGTGCTCCCCAGACTGCCTCCTCAGGGGCCCGGTCTCCATTCCTCATGATCAAGATGAGGAAGCCAGCCTTGGGCAGGCCCTGCCCACCTCTCTACATTGCATTGCAGGTGAGGCCCAGGGTGGGGACCATGATGTAGATGTGCTCCATGGGGTCTACCTCCTTCACCTCCATGCCAAAGACCAGCTGCAGGCACTCTGAGGCTTGGCTGAAAACCACCGGGAAGTGCTCCTGGTTATCCCTGATGACCTTCTTCAGCATTTCTGCCTGGGAGGTCAGCTTCTTGGCTCGATACTTGAGGAGCAGGAACTTCATCACCTTCCTGCCACCATCGCATTAAGAGCTTCCTGGGGCAAGGCCTCCACAAGGGTGGAGCAGGAGACTGTGGGGACAAGGCTGAGGGGATAAAGCCTCTCCTGCCTCAGCCCCCAAGAGCTGTGCCTCTACCGGGCCCTGGGCCTCGCCTGGGTCCTGAAGGTCTCCCTCGGGATTGCTCAGCTCACTCATCTCGACCAGGAGTGCAATGCCTTGGATGAAACCACAGACAGAAGTAAGGCAGGGGAACAGATGGGGACCACAGGCCTGGCTGAGGGAGAGAGGGGCTGTGAACGGCCTTGAGAACTGCACCCTGGGTGGTCTGACACAGGCCACTTACAGGTCTCCTTTTAAGGAGTACTCTCAGACCTCACAGGGGTGTGCCTCCAGGGCAGTCAGTACCCCTGGCTACCTGAAGGAAGAAGTGAGGTGGCTCCCCAGGGTGCAGTAAGCACAGCCTGAGATTTCCGGGGCTGACTAGGTGGGGGTATTAGGCCCTCGTGGGGTCCCCTCTGTTCTGGGATGGGGAGACCCTGGTGCACACTTAGGGCACACTCCTCACCTTGACTCCTGGTACTGCCTGGACCTCCTCTGCTCTCTGACCTTAGGATGTGGGCCTCAGACCTCTGCCTTCTCCTCCTGGTTCCTGGAGCTCCTGTGAGAGAAATGGAGGGGGCACCTTGAGGGTATCTCATGAATTTCTCAGCCAAGGCCGCTCACAGCCCCTCTCACCCTGAGACCGGTGGTCCCCATCTGTATCCCTGCCTCACTTCCGTGTCTTGTTCAACCCCAGGAATCATGCTTGTGGTCAAGATGAGTAAGCTGAGCAAGCCCGAGGAAGACCTTCAGGACCCAGGCGAGGCTCAGGACTGGGTGGAGGCGCAGCTCTTGGGGACTGAGCAGGGGTAGGCCCCATCTTACTTGGCCTCCCACCACCCAGCATCCTCCTCCTCCCCTGGGGAGGAGCTTGGCCCAGGAAGTTCTGAATGAGATGATTGCTAACCTGATGAAGTTCCTTCTCCTCAAGTATTGAGCCAAGAAGCTGACCTCCCAGGCAGAAATGCTGAAGAAAGTCATCAGGGATAACCAGGAGCACTACCCAGTGGTCTTCAGCCAAGTCTCAGAGTGCCTGCAGCTGGTCTTTGGCATGGAGGTGAAGGAGGTAGACGCCAGTGAGTACATCTACTTCATGGTCTCCACCCTGGGCCTCAGCTGTGATACGATGCTGAGCGGTGGATAGGGGCTGCCCAAAGCCGGCCTCCTGGTGCTGGTCCTCAGCTTGAATATGCAGAATGGAGACTGGGCCCCTGAGGAAGCATTCTGGGGAGCATTCAGCAGGTTAGGGCTATGTGTTGGGAGTGAGCACTGTGTCTTTGGGGAGCCCAGGGAGCTGCTGACCCATGTGTGGGTGCAGGAGGGGTACCTGGAGTACCAGCAGGTGTCTGACAGCCACCCTGCCCACTATGAGTTCCTGTGGGGTCCCTGGGCCTATGCAGAGACCAGCAAGTGGCAAGTCATGGCGTTTCTGCTCAGGGTCAACCAAAGGGCTTTGAGGGCCTTCCCACTCCCTTCTGCAGAGGCTGCAAGGAAGGAGGACTCGGCAACCTGAGCCAGAGCAGCAGCCAGTCTGATCCTTCCCTCTGTGACTGAAGAGGTATCACTCAGCTTCTCAGAAATGAGGGCCTGGCCAGTTTAGGGAACAAGTGTGTAGCGGTTTTGGGTTCCTGTTCTCTACAATGACATGGAGATTCATCTCTGTTTTCTTTAAAAAATTTTCAAACTTTAATTTTATAGAAAGGTAAATACACTTCAATGTCTTAGCTTTGTGAATGATGTTGATCCCAGTGTGTTTATGGTTACCCAGTTCACGAGCAAGAGTTTTGCTGTTTTTTAAAAGTGATTGGGAACACTTCCATTGTGTTTTGCGGTCCTGAACAGGATGCAATGGAATAGGAATTAGAATTGTTTTGAAAATGCGAACTTATTTATAAATAATATTGAATGGAGAAGAATTATATAATAAAAGTAGTCATAGTGAATTCATGCTTCAGTTCTTGTCTGTCATTTGCAGTAACTAAATTATCTCTGTTTATTGAATTTTACTGGGTTATTAAAGAAAGTATCAGACAATCTGAGCCCCCTGCTCACTAGCTCATTTATTCCAAAGACCTTTATGGAGCTTCTGCTCCATGAAAGGCTGTGTTAGCAGTGGGGACACTAGGAGAAGCAGGACATCCCCACACTTAGAGTGATGATCTAGAAGCCACAGTCACATGAGGTTTATCTTGGGTGTGAGGAGAATCTCTGAAATGGATCATTGCTGTGAGGTGTCCTTTTGCTTCTTGGATAAACCCCAGGGAGTTCTCTTTCTGGGGCAGGCAGGAAGGGGTCCTGGCTCTTGTTGCATAACTGTTGACCACAGGGATGAAATAGGTGTTTTCTACCCACCATCTACTAGGAATCCTAGAGAAATATGAATCCTGCTCTTTTATATATGGCCCAGTATTCCCTGTGCTATCCCTCCTCTCTGCCCTGGGAAGCTGATTACCAAGTACATTGAAATGACAGTTTATTTGGTCATATAGTCTTTATTATTTTCACTTGTGAGCATGGTCTAGATTTCATTTGGATGAAATGAGTTGAAGAGAAGCTGCAAAAGTGGAAAGGACCTGCTCTGTGACCAGAATCCTGGGATATTGGAGTGAGCTCTGCCCAGCTGGGAAAGACACTGCTCCCCACCCCCAAACCCTCACAAACACCAAAATTGAATAATATATCCCCCGGGGGGAAAACACACAGAACAGCAATTTTGAGTGGTTTTCTATTTTGTTTCCTATTGAGCTGCCAATTCTCTGAGGTGTCTTAAAAAGAAAACAATTTCCAGAGGAGAGAAGGACAGAGTCTGAGATGCGAATAACACAAGAAATAAGTAGTAGCCAGTAAAGATGCAACATCCGCCAGCATCCCTGGGTTCAGGCAGGTTCAGAAGTATGGAGGCAGCAGAGACACAAGTTAAGGCTGTGCCTGGCATTAAAAGGTAGGAGCGACTTCTGGGCCTAAGGAGGTGGTGAGGTCACTGCAGTAGGGGTGTGTATGGGTGCAGGAGGCTGAAGGGGCAGCTCTCCATGCTGAGTGCCAGAGAACAACGGGAACAGGAGATGTGATTCTGGTCACATATATGGCAGCGGCCACATAGTCAGTGGACGCTTGGTAAAGGTGGAGAATGTCAAGACCCATATGACCTGCTCAGACTCTCCTCCCCAAAACAAAGGAGATTTTTAACTGCTGCTCTTTGTGGAGCATCTGCTAGGCAGTGTGGAATTGGAGAGATGTCAGGAGTCCAGTCACCTCTTGTCTTCCTCTCTCCCTGCACACATGGGGACACGACCCTGCCAGGCCTCTTCACTTAGGAAGGGTCATATGATGACCCAGGGCCAGTGAATTTTGAGCAGAAGCATTTTTGTCAACTACCATTTGTTTTGAAGGGACACAGGCACCTGGGGGTTAATCCTCAAGTCAGGACAACACACAGATACAGACCACTCCGAGTGTGGTTCCTCTTCCAGAGACTAAAACCCCTCACCTCTGACCCTTGAGAGAGGCTGCCCCATAGGGAATTGGCTGCAGGAATTCCACCCACCCCTATCAAAGACCCACAGCCTGCCCCCACCCTGCCCTGAGCTGCACTGTCGGCCCCCTTGGGGCTGTGCTCAGTCTCCATTAGGAGGGCAGCAGCCAGCTACCAAAGGCCCCTGTTGGGGTTGGGGGCATCCTCCTCACAGGGCCCAGCCCCGAGGCCCTCCACCCCTGCTGCCCACAGTGCCCCCTCTCCCCCGGAACCTGGCCTTGGGTTTTGTCCTGCCTGCCCCCCAACTGAGAGCAGCTTAGGCTCTGGTCCTGATGACCTCATGTGTGTATCTTTATCTGGAAGTCCCAGAGCAGCATCCCCTTCCACGGTGCTTCAGGTGGAGCCGGCAGGACTTGATGCAGCCTGTGGGCGAGTCTCCTGGTGGTGGGTCAGTAGTAATCATTGCCATGGGAGTGTAGGGCACATCTCTATGATCCCAGGTGTATCAAACCATTCCCTGTGGAATCCCACATGTTGAAGTAAACTCAGGGTCTTGTTAATGTGACTGTGAGGTCCTGTCTTTTGAGCCTGAGTGTAAGAAGTAGAGGGGTGTCTGGTCAGCCACCTGCGCAGCCAGCTAGGACTTCGGTGTCCCCATTCTGACTGTTTGAGCAGAGGACAGGCTCTAGCAGTTGGCAGGGTTGGTCCCTAGGACACTCTCAGGCAACAGAGGCCCCATAGGAAAAGAGCCAGGCAGGAGACGACTCTGGGACCCCAGGGGTGAAGGCTGCAAAGAGGGTCAGCCGCCCCAGAGAGGTGGAAGCAGCAAGCCCCTGGAGGTCCCAACAGACCTGCCCAGGGCTGCCCACTGGGGACTCCCGGCTGTCAGCGCTCCTGCACTGTCCTCGCTGCTCAGAAGCTGCTGGTCCCCTCACTCTCACCGTACAGCAGGGACCATGGGACTCTCCATCCAGAAAGAAAAGGACACAGTGAGAATGAGAGGAAGACATGCCATGCACTGAGGAGAACGTTCCTGAAGATTCCAGATCACACGCTGTCACATCACAGCCCAGAGTGTGTCCTGAGACTCAGAGTGGTTTCCGTGGACAACTTTGAAGCATTCTTCAATCAGTGGTTGACATACAGGCCTTGATGGTCTGGAATAAAACCTCTGAAATCCAGATGCCCCTGATGTAGTCACTGAGAACACAGGCAGAGTCGAGTAGACATTGCAAAAGGAAAAGAAACAAAAAACTCTCTTGAAGGAACAAAGCAACAAGAAAAGCCTGCTGAACGTCTGTTGGTTCTGTTTAAGAAAACTCCTTCTGAATGTTGTCTTTGTATTTCAGTGTTAATCTGCTGAATGTCTTTCCTCATTTCAGCAGGTTGTGGTCACTTAGAAAGTTGCAAAACCTGTCTCTTTCTAAACAGTCTCTTGAAATGAGGCTTCTCACAGGTTCAGTTGAGACTATCCCACTTGGTGCAAGTGGGTGCTTTTTATCAGTTTTCCTTTTCACGGCAAGAAAGCTCGTAGAGACAGGGAGCCTGCTGTCACTGCAGCTCATTTCCCTGCAGGTTCGAACCCACAGCTAGGTTCCATCACCCTCTGCAGCTGCCTCCAGGGAGCTGACCCCTGCCTTCCAGCTCCATAGCATTAGTTATGCAAAATAAGTTGCTGGCAGATTTTGGCATTTCTTCACAAAAAAATATGAACACATTTTGACTGTTTATCACAAATTAAACCCTTGTGGGACATTGAGGGCTTGCAAGATAGAATGCAATCCATCTGACTGGAAAACTGATACCTGGCTGGGCTACCTCCCAGGAGAGTCACAGCACCCTCACACCCCACACTGAGCCCCTGCAGATTTGTTTTGACCCTTCCCTTATGGGTCCACACAGCTCAGTTAAGAGCAGCTATGAGGGACACTAAGAGCATGAGAGGGTTCCCGCCTACAGAGCTCGTGTCTGCAGGAAGACACTTTGAATGGAAAGGTCCCTCCTGGAGTCAGAGCTGTACCACCCTGTGTGCAGGGCGGGGAGAAGCGGTAGGGATTGCCCAACTCTGTGCCTGGGATGTCGGTGGAACCAACGCTGGAATGAGATGCTACCCCTGACCTCGGGGAAGCTACTGACTCTGGAGGTTCCCCCTGACCAAAATACATGGATTCAAAACCTGCACACTACTCTAAAAGTCAGTTGGTCACCCTCTCCCTTCCCACCAGCAAAACCCCCAGCCGTGTGACAGACTAAGGCATCCAGACACCCAATCCCTTCACCCACAGCTGTGTGGCCAATAGGGCAGAGCCAGGACCAGAGTCTGTCTTTCATTCATGCCCATGAAGTCCAGGTGCCCATGACAGTGTGTTTGTCACCTCTTGTGCACTGCGGAAACTGATCTCATTGCTCATCACTTAAAGAAAATCTCCTTTGCAGACCTGAGTTCAATGAGCCCCAGCGAAGCCCCAGACACAAGAGGACACTGCAGGCCTGCACTTTAGCTCCTCTTCCTAGAACCCCTGCAGTGTCAGATTTCTGGTGATTCACTGTGTGCAGCCTGGTGTGTCCTCTGAAACTAGTGTCCAAACTGCCTCATCTGAATATGTCAGACCACCCAGTGGACCCTGGCGACTGACCCATCCACTGTGGGCAAGAAGTCTTTCTGTGATGCCTGCTAAGTGCCAGACATGGGCTGAACACTGGGCACACAGATGTGAGCAAGGCAATGGCTGCCCTCAAGTAGCCAGCATCTTCCAAATTACCAGTTTGGCCAAGGGGGTAAAGGAGCACAGAGGGGAACCCCTTGTCAAGCACCTCTGCTGGTGGTGGGCTGCCTGCACTCTTGGTTCTGATAACTGGCAACATCATGGTACATGATAGTCAGTGTACATGGTAGTCAGTTAATGATGGCTGTTAAGTTTCCAAGCTGAGCAACAAATAGGCTCAAATGACCAAAGGTTATCACTGAACATACCTGTGGGAAAAGGACATTTCTTTACTTTATGGGAGTAATAACAGTCCAGGTGGCAGTCAGGACTGGC